CACACACACACACACACACACACACACACACACACACACACACGCGTGCGAGGCTGCGGTGAGCAGCAATGCATGGTACGGGGATCAAAGTAGACTGGAACTTCGACCTTTCCGCCTCCAGCTTATACCTTTCCCGGCTCTTCGACCTCCTGCCACCCGACCTGATCATCGACAGTCTCCATAAGCTGGCGGATCATGTCGTTGCCCATAGAGCGGTGTATAGTTTTTTTTCTTGTTTTCCATTTCTTCACTTATTTCACTTTCCTAAGGGCCACAGCCTTGAAGTATTATCATTGAGGTAAACGGCCCTAGGTGATTCTGAAGCATGTGCCTGGCTACACTACTCATCAAATGTGCAAAATGAGAATAAATCTTCTGCAAGATACATCACCATATTTTTTTGTCCTTTGCACATGTTGTGAGTAGTGGACGAGGCCCATATCCAATCTAGATGTCAAAATGGGCCTCGTCCACAACTCACCACATGAGGAAAAGACAAAAAAATATGGTGATGTATCTTCCCATGTTCGAGCAGAAGATTCAATCTCATTTTGCTCATTTTGTGAGTAGCAGAGGGAGGCCCTACTTCAACAGTTTATGGGCGTACCAACTGAAAGGCCACCGTGCTGAGCTGGCAGGGCCATGACTTCTGTTTTCGTTTTCGGAGACTGGCCTGGTCAGAACACAATTGAGTTCAAGCTTGGGGCTGTCTTTCAACAGTACAAGGGTGTACCACCTGCGCTCTGTTGTTTCCTTTTTTTTTGGGGGGTGGTTTCGAAAGCACAGCAGTCCGCCCCCACGAGCTGGCAAGGCGGTTTTCACGGCACAACATAAAACGAGACGAACTACACGGGCCTCACTCCACTACACAACTCTATACATGCATCTGGACACTTGCTGAACCGAGAGGCGGTTAACGGAGGCCTTAATTTTCAGACAACTTGTCATGCCATTTATAACAAAATCCAAGGGTCATTTTAACCAAACTTGCCACAGTTACTAATTGCAAAACAAAAACGAAAACAATAAATAAAAAACCATACAACAGCAAGGCAAAAGTGCACTTTCACGAAAATTTCGCCAACATTCAGTTTCAAAAATCTTGAGAAATTTCAGAAATCTTAGTAGAGAAAATTCCAATTCTCCAAATGAGACCAAATTTGGTACACAACAACCTTGAACCAAAACAAAAGCAGGCAAAAAAAAAAAAAAAAAACCATAAAATTTGACCCCCAAACCCTAATTTCAGTTTTGGACCTGTTAGTCAGGAGCTGAACCTGGGGCTGTGGGTACACGTTAACCACGGGTGGCTCAGTTTCTAGATCCAATGTGGTGGTGCTTTCACACTTGTTTTTTTTTTTATAAAAGATAATAATAACAATGGATGCCAGATGAGATACAGACGGAAGCATGCCCACAGATATGTTGATATACATTTAGAACTACGAAGAGGGCAAGGGGCTGCTATACAATCGAAGATATGGTGTTCTCTTTTCATTCTGCTTTATGCTCGTATTCTCTTCCTTTCTTTCCTTCGTGTCCATCTTCCCCCCTTCCCCATTCTCGTTTGCCGACCTCTTCCACTCTCAGACTTCCTCCTCTGCTCTCCTTTTCCACTCCACTTCGCGTCTTTCACTCTTTTNCATTCTCGTTTGCCGACCTCTTCCACTCTCAGACTTCCTCCTCTGCTCTCCTTTTCCACTCCACTTCGCGTCTTTCACTCTTTTTCTCCTTAACTGTCTTTCTTCCCCTCTTCCCCTCTTCGCTTCCATTGCATGCCTCCCGCGTTCTGTTTTGCAACAGCCCATTCTTCGTCAATTCACAAAGGAAAAGGAGACCTCCAATCTCCCACATCCATAGAAAAGCGGTCGATCACCACCTCATTTCCCAAAGCTCTATCTTCGACAATCAACCTCGGGAAGCCCGACCAGCGTCACTTGGGGGGGGTGATACGAGCAGCCTCCCCTAATCCGCGATCTGGTTGCTCCAGTCTTTTGGTGGGGAGCCTAATGTCCCAAACCCATAGAAAAGCGACCGACCACCACCTCATTTCCCCAAGCTCCACCTTTGACAATTAACAACATCTACATAAGGTCGGCATATTGTGAACATCCATGAAATCTGCAACTTTTGAGTGGCCACTTACGTCCCCGTTGAACAAAGCCATGAAATAATATTTTTAAGCAGCAAAAAATTCAAACATGGAACTAGAGCCCGGGTACTCAAGCTCGCGGGAAGGGATCCTGGGGCTTTTGACCTATTGGCCATGCCGCCACAGGTTCAAATCCTGATATACCCATAAGGATATGATGGAGCTGGTAGACATGCTATGCTACACTACAGCTGTCATCAGGGATATCATACATTTGCTCTTGTCTCCGTAAGGGTCGAGGAGTGCTACTCTGCAGACATAAACCCCTCATACAGACTGCGAAAACGACAGGGGAGAAGGCGATAGGGTGTGAGCATTGATGCTTATCTTTGTTTAAAAAAAAAAAGAAAAAAAAAAAGAAAAAAAAAAGGAAAAGAAAAGGAAAGAAAGTGGGGCCAAAATGGTCAGGTGAGGGAGAGATCAAACTCCTTAGAATACGGTAAAGTGGCGAAAATACTTCAGCCAGAAACACGAGACCTTGAGAATGCGCATAAAGTGGTCCCGCAAGAAACATTACAATTCCAACAACTTGGTGGCATGTGAATGGAAGTGGAAATTGAAACTCAGATGATGATGATACAGGCGAGTCGAACACCCAACATACCACCTCAGAGAATACAATCCTCCATCTCTTCCCCCCCCCCCACCCACCACGCCGTGGCCTCGAACCCCATTTCCTCTGCCCTTGCTCTGACAAGACACAACAGCCTCTATACGAGAAAGAGTTCGGCTTGTCTGCTTTTGTCGCGCTCATGTTAAAGGTAACCATGATGGATACATGGACCCAATCATCTGAAGCTTAGGGAGGTCACTGTACATGCACCGCCTGCTTTGTTTCGCTTTTCTCTTTTTCTTTTTTTTTTCTTTTTAGAGCCAAGTATGTTCTTCTCTCAATTTCACCTCTCACTACCTACCTACCTACCACTGCTCCTAAGCCGATACAGAGCTCCCCTGCTTGCCTTCTTTCCATCCAATGGCATCCACGTTAAATCTATGAATCACTAGACTTAAGTGTATATACACGCCATAACTTCGGCTCCACACCTAGAAATCAACACACATCGTAATAACCATACCACCACCAAAAAAAAANTCATCAACGTTTACAATCTTGTTTCTTCATCTTCTTCATCAACGTTTACAATCTTGTTTCTTCATCTTCTTCATCAACGTTTACAATCTTGTTTCAAAGGTTCTTCATCAGTTCTTCCACTTCTGTTCATCTTCTCTTTCCTGGCATTGAGCTTTTATTTTTGGCCCCCAAAACACATTGCCCCATCTATTCTGGGGGCCATTGAGCATTTTCACCGTTACCAACTTTACAGTAGATATACCTCCTCTTCTCCTCCTTCACCTCCTCCGCGTGTCTTCCCTTTTTTTTCCTCTTCAGACATCATACCACGTTTTCAGCGATTGCTTCTTCGATACTCTGCTCGTCCCCCACCTACTCCTCGTTCTTCTACAACCGTCTTCCCCCGAACACAACACACCCTCATTTCGGCTGCACCTGGCCGGAAAGATAGCTATTATACGTTCATTATCACGGTGCGTTCTGTTCGGGGGAAGACGGTAGTATAGGCGGCTATGCATAGTTAATACTCTGAAAGGTGTACCAAAAGGCAGCAGGCCCCTGTTTTCACTTTCTTCTTCTTCTTCTTCCTTCTCCTCCTACTTTGCTTCTTCGGTACTCTTGTCCTCCTTCACCTCCTCCTCCTCCTTTCTACTTCTTTCTTCTTCGTCTTCTTCGTCTTCTTCATCTTCTTCTCCTTCTCTCTTCTTTATTCTTCGCCTTCTTCTTTTTTCTTTATCTTCTTCTCCTCTCTTCTTCATCTTTATTCTTCGTCTTCTTCTCCTTCTGCTTTCCTTCTCCTCCTCCCTCTCCTCCTTTCTACTTCTTTCTTCTTCATCTTCTTCTCCTTCTCTCGCCTTCTTCTTTATTCTTCGTCTTCGTCATCTTTTTCCCCTCATGCTTTCTTTTGCTCCTTTTTCTTCTTTTATTCTTCCTCTTCTTTCTTATCCTTCTTTTTCTTCTTTTCTTCTTTTCTTCTTCTTCCTCTTCTTCTTGATCTTTTTCTGATCTCATCACACCACACTTTTCAGCTTTGCTTCTTTGACATTCCTCCTCCTCCTCCTCCTCCCCCTCCTCCTCCTTCCATCTGCTGTTTCCTTCCTCTTCTTTTCCTCTCCTTTTTCATCCGCCTCTTCCTTCTTCGTCACGGTGGTCGTCGCCTATCTTTTTTCCTCTTCTTTTTCATCCGCCTCTTACACGCTTATTGATCGCAGCATCGATACCGGGCGATCCGTATCATGACCGATTACCGAACACCGGACCCGCTTCTCTGCGCTCTAGCCCCCCAACCCAACCGAATCATCATCATCATCAATCAATCATCATCAGCATCATAGACTACAAGAATCATTGCGTTCATTACTCGGACTTCGAAAACGTTCCTCATGACATGCCCTCCTCCCAACCCAAGCTTCCTTCCCTCTAGCAATATCCTCATCGCCTCCTTCAACAAGAAGTCGCAACCACACCACCTCCAAAAAAAAAAAAAAAAAAAAAAAAAAAAAAAAAAAAACCTCACCAAAACTCGACCATTATCCAATCAGCGAGTCTACTGTCAGCTTCCCATTCCTCAAAGTGCTCATCCTCATACACATATGGTTCTCTAAAGAGCTTTGCCCAAGTCTAATACTACAGCAGGAGAGAGAATTGTTGCCAGTTTTTGAAGGAGGGACAAATTTTGACGCGATTTGAAGTCAAGATCTGAAATCTGAAAAAATTCAAAAAAATGAATCATTTCTGAAGTTGTACCTCTGCCATCCAAACTTCCCACAGGCAGTTAGTTCTCCATTGCTTCCTAAATAGGAATATGATTAAACCCCGATTCCGTACGGAGGACCGGCTTCTACGGTGATGTTGATGAGTGTGCCAACCTCTGTTGCTCACCCGCTTGCTCTTCCAACACTTGCAGTGTGTGCCTTGCTTTTCTTCTCTGACCTGCAATTTGCACCTTCCTTAAGTCGCAAAAATATTCGTGTTAATAATCAAATTATCCTTCGGCCTAGCTTTTTCGCAGCCTCACAGAGTCACAGTTACCTTACTGCGCGCTGTCCAAACTTCCAACGCGATGCTGCTCATCTGGTCCTGCATATGCAAGTGATGGAAATTTGAAACCCGACTCCCCCATGGGGGAGAATTTTACTATTTGCTCAGTGATCTTGACGAGTGTTCCGCCTTTCGGCGCCTTCCGTGCAAAGCTTCTTCCTCTTCCTACAAATTGCACTGCACGTAAACCGTGCTTTAAAGCACCCGTACGGCAGACCCTAAATGGCCAAACCTATTTTTTGCGCACGCGAACGGATTGAAGTGGTCCCCGCCAGGCTGGAACACGGGAAAACATGGCGTCCTTGTATACCGCCGGAAGTCTCGTTCGAAGGCGGGGGGGCGGGTACTGCTGGTTTAACATGCTTATTGATCTCTCTATTTTACACCCACTTTGCTCTCAAGAGACCCTGGTACAGTACTCTACCTGTGCACCTTCCTCCCCTTCTACCTCACTTTGGTTTCATGGTCCTCTGCATGTTATCTGTATAGCCTGATAGTACTTAACCTGGATCTTAGCCTTGAATCGCCAAAACCCTCAATCACAAACCTTGGTTAATGTGATACTTAACCCCCATTCGCTAGCCTTGAGGCGCCACCGTACTCTACCTGTGCACCTTCCTTTCTACCTCACTCTTGATCTCATGGTCCTCTGCCTGTTAGCTGTCCCCTGATACCACAAGCCTTGGTTAATATTGTCCTCCGCCTGTCAGCCTGTCACATTATCGTACTCCACTCTATTCTATTGCTTACACCCTGAATTGCCAAAACCCTAAACCACAAATAATGGTTAATATGGGTCATAACGCCGCCTCCTTGTCCCCTGCAAGTGACTTTATAATGGAATGACCCATGCCAACAATTGCCGATGAGGAAACTTTTAAGACCACAGCTATGCTCCGCTACCTTTGCCATCATGGCAAATCTTTCCTCTTCATCTTTTTGCACACTCTGCCAGCGATGTTATGGTGTAGCGAGGGGTTGCTACCTTTATCCGCTGTGTCAGTTGACTCAGGGTCAATCAAACCTGACTGTGACCCTGAGTTAACCGGGAGGAGCATGTTAAACCACCAGTACTCGGCCCAGCTATCGGCCGCGGAAAAAAATTGAGTAGAAACGTTTCTAGTCGGATGAATTTGGGCGCTCCTGTAGTGGCCCGTACGTTTCCTAAAACCGCGTAGCGTTAACGGGCGCGACTTTAGGAAGTACTGGTGGTTTAATCGACTAACGACTACTTAAGAAACCACCCGGTTAACTCAGGGTCACAGTCAGGTTTGATTGACCCTGAGCCCAGGCGTACTGGGGCGCGGCGCTGTCATTACTTCCCCCTGCTGCTGTACTGTTCTCAGGCGTCTCCCCCAGGTTGTTCTGAGAGTCTGATGTACTCTAAACAGTCTTCTTACGGGTGGAAATGCAAGCATAGAAGACAATAGAGCTCATAAAGAGCACTCGGCAACCCTCCCCACTCTCTCTTTCTCCCTCTGTATCCCTCATCATCTTCTCTGCAGATGCTATTAAACATGCCTGATGAAGGCTTAAAACTTAAAAGTCAATACTTGTATCCAAGGTCCTTGAAACCCAAGCAAAAACCTTGAGGGAAAGAAAACGACAAAAACGTGTAACTACCTTCCCTTCAAACATCCCCTACCAAAATGTAAGTCCTGCTCAACACCAAGCGCCCACTTCCTGCCGGCCGCCACCCGCCCCCCGCTCCTCCTTGCCCGTGCCTCTCCATCCTCTGTTCTCAAAGGCCTGCAAAGCACCCTTGGCGCAGTCTGACATAGCCTAGAAAATGTCCCTATACTCACACTCACACTAGCACTTCCATAAATTTTGCAATAACGGCCAGACCAGCATGCATCTGACTGTAATCACATCCCGAGTCAGTCAAAAAAGTCCTAGCGTGAGTGTGCCCTGAAAAAGGATGTTACTTGAAGAAGTGATATGTCACTACGTTCCCCTTTCTTATTTTACCCCACCCTGCGCTTCTTCCTTCTCTGATTCCCTGCCCCCCCCCCCCC